GGACTACTGACGGGGCCGTGTTGAAGCAGTGGCTCCTGGGACATTTATCTGTATCTGCTGACGCCAGGGTATGCCAGAAGTGGCTCAGCACGGAGTGGGGCGCCAAGGGAGCATTGAATACTGCCCAAGCTGTGGAGGAATGTATAGGCCAGCGTCTTCGACTCAATCAGTATCGGGAGAGCTTCGCCGATGAGGCCGCCGCGGAGGTCCTCTCGCAGCTTCTCTCGGAGAGCGACCCTCCCGTCGCTGTCAGCGGTATGGTTTTGAGGCAATGGTACGTGAAGTATCACCCTGACTCTGGACCTTTGCAGTATGACACGGCTGAAAAGCTCGACGCGGCACTTGGTGACCACATGCGCGCGGTATATCCAGGGCTGAAGTACCACGCCTTGCATGCCGTGTTGCGTATGCGACGGAAAGCTGTCTTGGTGTCCCGAGGAGTGTTGAGACAGTGGTGCGATGCGTATGCGTCGGTGAGCTCTTCAGTGCAGGCGACGGCTTCATCCGCGCAGGCCGTCGCCAGGCGTGTATTGAAGCGCCCGGCGGCGCAGGTCGCAGGCGGGGTATTGAAACGGCCAGCCGCCGCCGGATCTGCCCGCGTGGCCAAACGGCCTGCCGCGGTCGACTGGGGGGAGCCCGTATCGAAGCAGCAGGCCACGGCAGCTTCTTCCTCCACAGAAGTGGTTTGTATAAAGCTGCTGACGGGGGATGCTGTAGAGGCGGCATGCGGCAAGCGGTATCGAGAGCAGGTCTCCGACTTGGGCCTTGGCCTCACTTACCAGAATATGCAGGTGCGTCTGAAGGCCTGGGGGTATGAGGCGGGTCCATATGCCTTGCGAGAGTGGCTTTGCAAGTATCGACTCGGAGACGGTGCCAAACATGGCAATTGCGCCGTCTACGCGTTGTCGCGCAGGGACCTCCAGTACTGGTATCACGTAGAAGGCTTGAGGGGGCGAGCGCTGGTGGACAAGTATCGCGCGGAGACCGGGGTATTTGCACATTGGGTCGCCCTGGAGAGGTGGCTGAAGGCGCCCTCCCAGCAGCTGGCAATACTGGAGAATGCTGAGGAGATACACAGCCACGTATGCGGGGAGTATGTCCTGGAGCAGCTGCAGAAGGGTGTCTCGGCCGAGGAGGTGAAAAAGGAGTTATTGGCGCAGTATCTCGTGGATTGCAGGACCACGCAGCGGCTCGTAGCGTATCGTCGCTATCGCGAGCAACGTGGCGAATACTGGACCAGCGAGCACCTAGAGCAACAGGAGTGGGAGTTCTTGTATTCCTTGGTTTCTCTGGATAGCAAGCTCGGCCACAACCGGGCGGTTGGCTGTCGCGCCCGGGCTAGACCTGGTTTGGAGGCTGTGCGTGTATCTTTATGTCAGCGCTTGGGCGTGGCGGAAGAGTTGGTGCCTTTGCACAATCTATCGGTATTTTTTGGTGGCCA